CGAAATCTTAATTAGCTCAGCTGTGACAGGCAACGTTACTTTTATGATTGTTTCGATTAAAGGTAATGCAATGTCGCACTCTGGAAAATAAATCGATTAACCGATACGAATTTTCAATTGAAAGGACTATCAATCACCATCGCTGGGCATCAAGTCCCTGATATCTCGTATACATGATCTCGCGATTATCCGTATACAGACGAGTGGAACGTTCGGCGCGAGATTTGCCCTGAAATTCGCTTCTTAAATTCTTGTTAGCGGAACATAGTTCTCCGGCCACGGTCGCGGATTCCATTTACTGATTGGATATGGCATCAGTTATTCATCGCTGTTAGTCGAAGGAGAGAACGAGAGAGAGGAGCACGTGCGGCCGTTATAAATACGGCGGATTTCCCGTCGGTATGCCGCTGCATTTGGAAATTCTCGACGGGCCTCCCCCTCAAACGTCCTCCCATCCTTTCCATTACATCGCTCGCGCACGTCCATAGTTGATCGTCGCATTATCAATAAAAAAACAGACCTCCCGCGTAATTCTCTCGTATACACGGCAGCTTAGAAAGATGCTGCCAAACTTGGAAGAGTATTCTCCTCACGCTAAAGCCGAAGAAAAGTTGCGCAATAACTAATACATCGGCCTTATGGCACATCAAAATTCCCCAGCGATTCAACCCTCGATTTCTTACAAAAATTCTGATATGATAAATTCACGATGATAGTTTCTAAGAAAATGAATAAGAGATATCACAAGATATAAAGAGAACGATTCTCTCATTTAATTTAGCTTGTTGATCGCGACGATGAAAATAATTATATCAATAGTTTTTTCACGATTTTTGCAATTACATTATGTCTCGTTTTTGTCGTAAAAAGATGCGAGATTGACCGAAAGGATGTTCTATTGTAATCAAATAGACAATACACGGAAAAAATGGTTTTACTGAAATATCTAAAACAATTAGATCTGAAAATAATTTTGTTGAACATCAAATTAATTATATGTAGAATACTCAAGCTCGTTGTCAGAATATAAAATTTTTTTGCAGATTATGCTTGAATGTCCTAATTATTTTGATGATCCACCAAAATTAGTTTTAGATCTATGTCTAGTTAAATTTTTAGATATTTCAATAAAATCGTTCTTTCTGCGTAGATTAGAATTTTCAGATTATTTCTAAATTCATTGAACGTCGAAAGATTAAGATATACCTGGCGGAAGGAGCGATCAAAAAGGAGAACGCGAAGTGTCGAGTTGCTATTATATTTATGGTCTTTGAGATACATATCAATGCAATAAACACATTCACAGGGCAATATGACGAAGATAAACTCGGGAAATACGAGCGTACGATTCTGTGCTTCTAAGAAGAACAATATATGGTTCGATGAGTCGTGAGATATACGTCTGTGTTCCTTTGCATTTTTTAATTTGATTCCAGACACATTATTGCGGACGTTTTTATTACGATTTCCCCGTCATAATTAAATCCTAACTCTAATCAAATTAAAAAAGCTGGAAATTCGAATAAATTTCACGCGTAAATCAGGTTAAAGAACAAAATGAGTTCCTGAAATAAGTATGTCTCAACAGATAATGCTTTCTCGTTAACGTAATTATTCTCATCTTTCCTTCCATGATTTATTGCGCTCTCCGTTTGAACTAATATGAAGATAAGTTCAAGTATCGAAGGGATAAAGAACTGTTATAGAATTTTAATGTTGGAGGTAGTGATTAATTATTTATTTTAAGAACATTGTTGTTTAATGCTTTCTTAGAAAGTATTAAACAACAATGAAGAAAGTTGTTTAATGCGTTCTATGCTCTTAATACTAAAAATAAGTAATTTAACAAAATGAAAAAATTATGAAAAAAATTATATTTTTCTAAATTGTATTTGAAAGTAACACAAAACGTTTGGTGGTGATTTAGAATTTAGATAAAAATTATTTCAATAAAAAAAAAAGTGAATACACGTGTTTTAAAAATAATTAAGGTAAAATGAGAAAATTTGCATTTAAACTCTAAAATTGTATCGTTAAATACAAATATTGACCTCTCTCTTTTATTTAACTTTCATATATATATAACATTCATTTTTATACATTTTACGAGTTATACACATACATTTCCAATCCCAGTCATTTTTTACAGAGACTATACACCTGAAATCCTTAAATTGGACTTCTGTAAGACCGAAATCAGATTATGCATTGAAGATTGGGATTAAAGATTAAAGATTGAAATTTCACTAATGAGGACGAAGAAATTTTGGTTCCTTTTGTTCCAATTGGTCAAACTTCAATCTTTCAATCTTCAATCTCATTCTTCAATGCGTAGTCTGATTCCGGCCTAAGGGAAGAAGCGAGGTGTATAAAGTGTTTGTTGTTTCACGACTGAAACGGATTCGAATGGAGTAAATCCGACGGGCTATTGTCCCGACCGAGAAATGGTCAGTTACACGCGCAACGACGCTGACGTACGTCGGATACGATCGGCGTCGCGGGTAGAGTCACATGGGCGCGCGCGACCGACGACAGCGAGAAACAAGGGCCGGCGGAGCCGATCGATCTGTTCACCGCCGAAAATACACGCGCACACGTACGGCGGCGGGTATCCCACATTTTCTGTGCCGGGGCTGCGCGATACAAAACGCGGAAACTGCACGCACAGTGGTCCAGAGAGCGGTGGCTGACTGAAAGGGGGAGAGAGAGGGAGAGAGAGAGAGACAGAAAGACAAAGAGAACGGAGGGAGGTACATAGCAGAAGAGGGCTTGCGGAAATTGTAGCCGTGCGGTGATTCTGGGCGATTCCGAGAGACGAGAGTGAAGGCTATGGCACACAAAAAACATAAGCAGAGTAAAATGTAAGCAATAAGCGAAATTGGCTACAGTAGAGACCGTAGGGCAAACAAGCTGTGGGTCAGACCGAAATTGTTGAATCGCTTATCGTTTATTGTCTACTCTGCAGCAGTTGTAAAACCAAAACCGATCAATTGTAGTCGATTATCTTCTCTCTGAATTATTTGGAGTGAATCTCACTCTCTCTTTTTTCAAGAGTGGCAGAATTCTCACTCCTTTGGAGTCACGCTCCAAAGAATTTAAAGAGTTTCTCGCATTACGATTGTGGTCAATTTTTACGGCTTATTGTAGAGAGTGGGCATATATCTTACTGTCTAAGTTTTTTTATTGTGTGCCATAGCCTTGGAGCTCGTCGAATTGCGGCAACTCGATCTCGGCGACTCTCGTGCGATGACCCGCGCTACGCACGTTGCCTGTCGTCATTCGGACGCCCGCAAATAACGAGAGACGTCTTGCGAATAGCTTTACACCGATGCTCCCCGCGCTCGTCCACGGCCTTTTCACGGTCTCTCACTGTGCCGCGCACGCGTGCGCTACTGATAAAGTTATCAGGTCGAGAGTCTGAATCCTTTTATGCCGAAGAATGCGTTCGTTCGCAATCCAATTTCTACCGGAATACTGAAATATCGAAATGTTCTCGCGCGAGCGTTTATCGGCCGCTTTTCGTTTCTCGATGTTCGTCGAAACGGAAATGAATTTTGAAAAATCTGCGGGAATCCTATAGAAAATCTTTCAACGTTTTTCGCAAGAAACTCGTTCTTTTCAAGCTCAATTTTTTTTTACGTCGTTCATTTTTTCCTCCTTTTTTAACGTGGAGGGAACAAAAGAAAAGATGAACCGCGTCCAATGCGAAACATATGAAAGATTCTCTGCAGGATGACGAAGCCTAAAAAAACAGACTCAAGGATAATCGATTAGAGAAATTCATTTGACGAATTTCTGGTCTGTACGTATTTTGGAATTATTCGGAATGGAATTTCAATAGGAATTATTCAATTATTCCCTAGATTTCCATTGTGTTTTCTGGGAAAAACGTAATAATTCCAATCAGAATCCATTCCGAACATTTCATAATACGTGCTCTGATTCAACTATCACATCGCATTTATGAGAATTGTTGCCACGACAACTAGATTCTCTTAGATCTCAATTCGAGAAAAGAATGAAGTCGGTTTAAAAAAAAGTACGAATAAATCGGGGAAACATAAGCTCGCCGCAAGGTCCACTGAACATTGATACTCGCGTCGGGGATTCTCGTATCGCCAAGTTTCATATCACATGCCGCACGCGTCGCGCAACAAAGTGCACAGTTCTATACGTTCTCTCGCCAACCGGAAAGCTCAAGGTTACCCGCAAATTATAGCTGCAGCTCACACTTTTCGATATCAGTCTGTTCATATACAATCGCTATTCAGATAGCCGTAAGATAAGAGACACCGCGATAAACGGATAAACGATAAGATCCCCGGAGATAATCTCTGAATTTTCGGCCTGAATTGATAGGACGCTGCCAATTCGGAGGTATCAGTCCACCCACAGCACACTCTTATCGGTGACTGAAAGACTCCTCTCAGATCAGCGACGTATTCTAATCAGTCAGGCAAAAATTACTCACTGGGACGCTGCAATCTTTGATCGACCACGTTTCGTGAGATATCAACGAGCCATATTGATACGGTCATCGACTACTCTCCGCTCGCGATAGACGTTACGAAAACTTACGAGAAGATGCATCACACAGGCTCCGATATTATCGAGAAGTCCAGGGACAGACGGTCGAAACGAATGTGCGAGCGAGCGAGTGAATGCTGATGTAACGCACGCGCACGATCGGCGACGGCCGGCTGCGTCGCATCTCCGAGACTCCGACTACTCCGACTACTCCGAGATCCTGGCAGCACGCAACGCAGCAGCACACAACGTGACACGATGCACGTCTCGCGCGCAACTGAGCGACCGTCTCGGCCGCTTCGTCGACGCTCGGTCGTTTCCGCAACGTGCATGGCGGGAGGTTCGATCTCGTCGCGTCTTTGTCTATGACACGAGAACGCCGACTGCGCTCTCTCTCACTCACTCTGTCTCTCTTTCTCTCTCTCTATGTCTCTGTCTCTCTTTCTCCTCCCCCTTGCGCTTCCTCACCCCGGTCACGCTGCTCTGGGGGCTCCACCGTGCTCTTTCTGGCCGTCGTCGATTTGCGAGTTTGCGGTCGTCTCACTCACGCCGACGACGATGCGCACCGGGGGATGAATAGAGGCTGCTGCTTTGGTGAAGCGAACGGTACAAGGGAGCGAGCACAACTGCGCCAAGAATCTTTCAGTACCCTAGTAAATACGAAGAAAGGTGGTGTGCTGGGATTTTCAAGTTTAAACAGGGGAAGATAGTGATGTGAGGTATATCTACACCAATGCTTCGGTAAGCATCCCTCAGGATTATATGGGAAGTAAATGTATATACGTATACAACAAGCGATGGCAATGTTAAAATCTATCGCCTGTTAAATTAATGCAAGAGCCATGAGTCAGCGCTTTAAGCGGTCCTGGCGAATGGGATTTGTGTGGCTGTTCCATTGATCGACATGCTTAAATCATTAAACCTGCGTCCTCGTACGTATTGAAGTATGTAGGCATCGCGTTTCCTGCGTGTATCAATATTGCATTTAATTAACCCTTCAAACTGCGCCAAAATCTGTAATACACAGTTTCTGATGCTGCCTTCGGAGCACCCATTTAATTTGTATTAATTAAAAGGCACTAATTAATGAATTACAAGAAACCAAAATAATAACTCGTATAATAAAGAATGAATAGTAAACACATTTTAGTAAGAATAATCCAAATTTGCAGATGTAGTATAAGGAAAATTGAATTACTTGACATTTTAATAAAGAGATTTGTAATTAAGTGAATTCAATAGACCCACTATCAACTCTGGAAGGTTAAACGTAGTGATAGAGAAAATAAATCTTTTCTTCTCTCTTGTGTCATTAGCGTTAATACAAAGAAATTTTTTGTATACATAATTACTGACAGGTGGTGCGTTCTCATAAGGTGAAATAATCTGCTGCAATTATCGTCACTTGTAATACGAAGGAAAAAAATGAAAAAGATAATTTTGCTAAAGTATCTAAAAATTTAGCCAGATAGAGATTTAAAAATAATTTTGTTGGACCATCAAAACAATTCGTTCATTAATATGGTGAAACGTTTGAAATGTTCATTAATGCGTGAATGATTATTATTTTTATCAATTTACTGTTAACTGTTATGTGAAAATAAATTTATATATTTTTGTCATCATATGATGTTAAATTTATATACACGACCTTTTTGTCTTCGTTTTTAAAAGCAAAATTTTTCTTTCTTTTGATTTATTTTCTTCAGAGATTTAATTAATTTATGTTGTTCAAAATAATTATGTAGGATGTTCAATCAAGCATGATGAACAATGCTGCAAAAAATTTTGACATTTTTATAATTAATTTGAGCTTGTGTATCTATAACTCTAAACTTTTAGATACTTCAACCAAATCGTTAATTTTTTTCGCAAAGAGAACGAATAAAAAAAAATTAAAACCTCGTGCGCGGAACAGAATTTCGTCGAAGCGATGATTTCACGTCGAGATGGAAATATCTAATTCTCTCTCGGGAGACCGGCTACGCTTAAATTGGTGGCTAAATTAGAAATCGTCCCGGTAGTGGCGTCCCTGCGAAACGAGAGACGCTAATGCGGTCAACTAAAGTAAAAAGCTAACTGAAGGAGTGGTAAGTAGACACTAACACTTCCGGGCGAGCGACTCGATATCGACGGGGGTGGGTGTGCTCGCCTCGGCTTTAGCCCCGAATTAATTCTTCGGGGGTGGCCGAGCTCCCTCCATTACCGCCGGTGGAACGAGCGGCAGTAAAGTGTTCCGCCTTAAAAAGAATACGTGTACCTTCATCCTGACGCCTGTAGCAATGCTTTTCTCTTCCCTTTCTCCCTTCCTCTCCCTCCCGCCGCGCCGTTTCGTTCTCGGCTCCGGTACGATGCGGTGAGTTTCCTTGAAGATTTTAAGGGAAGTCCGGGATTTTCTCCGGGCTCGATCCTGCATCAGAAAGTTCCACCGACCATTGCTTTACTGTCTTAAAACAGCGAGAGAATCATTCACTTTTTCACAAAAAGAAAAAGCATTGTATTTGCCACACTTTCTAATAACTTTTTATTAGAACGGTAATAATTGTAAAGGCTCTTTCTTCAAATAAATTCTTTGTTTCAGAAAAATTATTATGGGTCGACTTCATTAAGGTCGAAATTATTAATTATTTTTCCGAAACTAAGAATATGTCGACTAACTTTACTGAACATTGCAGAAAAGGTTCGTCTTTTGTAATAGAACTAATGTACATTTTTAGAACTTCAAGTGAAATAGATATACATATGTTTGGCGAAAGCGAGAGAGAAAAGTTCTAGTGCAGGTATAAAAAATAGATCTAATGTAACACGCCTTCTTCATCCACTTTTTCAATTATATTGTACTTAAATTTCGTACAAATTTAGTCTTGAATAAATAAGGGTGCGTCGCGTCGTCAGTGCGGTAACAAAGCGTTAATCACGCTTTCCTAATAACTATTTCGAGACGAGAATGTTCTCGAACAAAGTTTCGTATTTTGTCAGATATGTCGCAATTTGTTGACTCAACCTTCGATTTCTTGTCCAGGAAGGACTGACCATCGATGAAGGCTACAAGCCACCTGGGGCTTTGCGTACGCACAAAGGTATTTTTCAAGTGAATTCTTTGGTTTAAACGGTTATAGCCTATGGACCTACTCTGCTTGTAAGGAGCGAAACTAATTATACTTCGCGTTAGTGGCCTTCGTTCGCGGCAGCTGTTTCTGTTCTAGTAAGCGAAACGCCTATTGAATGTGTTCAAAGGTCGAAGGCCCTGGAATTCTTCCTTTATGTCGACTTTAAATAGTTAAAACTTTCAAAAATTATTAACACTGAAAGAACAATTTTGCTGAAATATCTAAAAATTTAACTGGTTGCAGATCTAAACGTAATTTATATTTTGTTGGGCCATCAAAATAATTATGTAGGAAATTTAAGCATAATGAGCAATGTAGCAAAAAATTTTGTTATACTAACAACCAGCTTGAGTGTCCTACATAATTAATTTGATGTTTAAAATTATTTTCATATCTGTATCTAGCTAAATATTTTTAATACAAAACCGTTTTTTCTGCAGATATTATGATTTAAATAAAAAAAAAATATATAAACATATATTGCAATATATGTATTATTCCTTGTATTTTCTTTTTCAATTTTATGGAGACTAAAAATGTTACAAATGATTGAAAAAAAAATTTAAGGGAAATATCTGAAGGCTCTCGATGAAAAGATAACGTCAAGATATGGCACTAGCAGACTCTGTCGTGTCAAGTCTTCAATTTATTACCTCATATTATCCGATGTCGTATTGAATATTCGATGCACGAGTGATCTCGGTGGATGAAGAAAGAGAGCACTGGCGGCGGATGTTGAGCGGGCGAAGAGATCGATACGAGCCAGCAGCAGAGCACGATGCCCGCGAGTTCCATATAATCGTAGAGGAGAGGAAAAAAAGGAGAATGAGCGATAGCAGTCGCGCTGCTCGCGCAGCGCGCAAGCCGAGATAAAAGCGTTTACGGGGAAGTAACGGGGATGGTTCACCGGTTGGGGCGTGGTGGGCACCATTGCGAGTATATACGAGGGTCAAGGTTAACGTGGGAATTCCATATGCCGACATGATGGTTAATGCCACGTGCGTATCAAGCATTCCTTTTGATTTTCAGCGAGAAAAACGGAAGGTTTCCCGACTCTCATTCTGCTTTTGTCTCTAATCAGTATTTTTTTCCGGAATACATTGCGATATGTTTGCACGTACTTATTTTTATATCTGGTCTATGTATTTATAAGCACAGAGAACGTTGACATTTGAAAATACATATTATATTTCGTTAAAGTGAATTATTTAATATTAAATAAAAGGTTGTATCAATATTAAATTAATTTAGATTGTCATATGAACAAATCAATAAGTGAGGAAAGAACAGTTACAGTCAAAGCCAGATTTAGCCAAATAACATTTATATGTAAATTGTAAATACAACTTTCAGTTATAAACTACACCACTTAGGCTCGTTTTCACAATATATGGTTACCAGCAGATTCATCAATGATATTCATTCATGAATTTCTTGGTTACCTTTAATCTTTAGGTAACCATATATTGTGAAATTGGGCCTTACTGTCGGACTTGAAATGCAATCATAAACTAAAGGTGAAATTATATCACAAATTAAATTGTGGAAATTTGTTTGATTGAATAATTATGTGTTTAATTGATTTTACGGTGACACATAGTGAAGGATTGCGATAAGTACCGTACCGATTATTACCACAAATGAAGCAAACAAAGTAAAAAATCAAACATATACTTATAACACAAATCAGAGAATGAAACACGTTTATGGCAAGTAGCACGGACAACGGGGATGATTCACCTCTGATAGGGAGGTTTGCGATTATTACGAGGGTCAAGGTTAAAGAGAGACAGATCCACATGCGGCACATTAGTTCAATCCGCACGTGCGGCTTTCTCTCTTTTTCTTTCATTGAATAAGCACGATTTTGCATAAAAACTGCAAGCGTCGGATTTACACAAATCTGCAGTTAATGAATTTTAATAAATTTTCCATAAAAAAATCTGTTTAAATGTATTTCAGAAAGACAAATGTTTCCTCGATTTAAATTTTCGCTGTAACTTTGAATGCGAATAATAGATAAGTTTTCTTTGCGCTAAGAGCTTGAAAAATAAAATCGAGAGTAGTATCTTCTCTCATTCGCGCTTTAAAGAGAAAATCTTGCGAGTTATAAGCATTATGTATGCTCTTTGTAAGAATTCTTGGAGTTGCACTTAGGGGACTTGTGGGCTATGTTCTTGTTTGATCATCTTCCTTTCGTTAACGGATATTCATGGAAATACAGCATTATACAAAAATGTTATCTGGATTTACTATCAATGGAAATATGTACTTAATGATAATATTCTTACACAAGACTGTTGTATCAAATAATCGTCAGGAATATTATAGAAATAGAACGTTTCACCATATATATTTTATTTCGACTAAAAATTTTAAAGTAAGTACGATTAATATGATACGCATAAAATGCAAAAAACGAATACATAAAGAATCGATTACTACTTTTGTAAATAAATCTATAGGATATTTGTTAAACAATAAATTGAAATATAAAAGGTATGTAGAGTTAAATCATCAACGTGACTTTTCTGTTACGTTAATTAAATACAGATAGCCACGTCTGAATCCAAGATATTGAACACAAACCGTCGGGTGAGTCAACGGAATGATCTCACACGTAGGTAGATAAATTCTTCGAAAACAATCGACAAATTAGCTATCATCGTTTTTTATGCTAAATGAAAGTCAGTAAAAATTTGTCTTTGTGAAAGCAGATATAATCTTACTAACCGCAGCCAAAGATCCCTGATAGTCCAATGGGAATTTGAACTTTGTGGTAAATAGCTCGTAGATTTAGTCCCGCGATACCTACGGCGATATTGCCATGCACTGATTGCCATAAGAACCGCGGAGAATAATAGCGATTCCCTAGGTCGACGCAGAATTCCTTAATGAGTCTCTCCTGGGCCGAAGGACGAGCTGCAAGTCATGGCGACGAGAAAGAAAGAAAGTGAAACTAAAGAGGATAGTCGATGACAGGAAATTAGGACGCCATGAAGCTGGAGAATTACGTCTTTTAATCATCGATTCAATTATCTCGCCAGAGCACGTATAATGATGAAGTCTCCATAATAAGCTGCTATTTTTTAAATTCTGATAACTAACTAAAATTAATGTAATTAATTAATGTAATTAAATCAAAGAAAAATATTAAAAATGTTAATAACAACAAAAATTAAAAGAAATATTTTGTATTATTTTTGTAACTTGTATTAATATTTCTCTTTCTTTTTTATAGAAGATATAGATGTTTATGGACATATAATATTTTATGATGTATTATATTTTTTCTGTCTAAGAAAATATTTTTTGAACAAAAATTTTGAGAAAAATGCGTTTGTTTACAAGCACAGTCTAGTCGCTAGACACAGGCATGCATTTAGGTGCCACCGTCACTTCGGTAAATTGATACGCTCGTCTACATAGTTCGCATAGGTGCGAATGCATCGCCATGGTAAGGGTGCATAACACCCTTCTCAAGAACCCTTAGTTAGGTCTTCGCCACCCGGCAAATTGGAATTATTGACACGGGCCATCGCACATTATTGTTTCATTATCAGAGCATCGCCATTTATGAATCCCGTCCTTTTACTCTTCGTTCTTTTGTTCTTCTTCAATACTTCTTTCACACATTCGATTCAATTTTGAAATTGCATCTTTATACGTTGACCATTGTGTTGATAATGTTAATATTATTCATTATTGAAGTTGAATTTGACTGACAACGCAGATCGTTAACTTACAATTAGTGCGCGCGATTTAGCACGTGCTCTGTTTTGCAAAAACTCTTTAAAATTTTTAATAAAAGTTTTAGCTGGAAAAATTTGGCGCCGATATATCACCGGGTTTTACCGACAAAATTCACTAAGTAAATTATTATCGAGCGCGTCTTGCTATTTACCGCAACGGGACCCAGCTTTATCTCGATCTAGCTCACGTATATACTTATCGAGATGAACGAGGCGTTACTTATCGCATTGCTAAAAGTGGCCATTAGATAAGGCTCGGAATGCGTACATTGAACTGGAATATTATCCAATTCTGTTATATGGTTCGTACCTTTTTGTGCGTTATATTTTTCCATTTTATTTCAATTAAATTGTACTGATTGGTTTTTATTATCTTTATTGTCATGAATCCATATTATTTTTCTTTTATATCATTTTATTAGATATTAAATGTACACCTACTTGTTTATCGAGCAGTTCTAAAAATGATTTTCATTAATAAATATTACTTTTATTATCTATATTATTTATCAGATGTATACCGTCAAATTCAGTGTCAAATTGTACAA